CCGTGAGCCATGGCCACTGAGCCTGCGCGTCCGGAGCCTGTGCTCTGCAACGGGAGAAGCCACAACAGTGAGAGGCCCCCATACCGCAAAAAAACAAAACAAAACAAAAAAAAACAGTGATTAAGACAAACACAGGCACTGTTGAGGTCTATCCCGATGGGACTTTTTCTGCAGACCTACATCATTGGAAACGCCTCATAGAGTAACTGTGTGGTTTCCTTTACGGAGAGAAGTACGTATTAGATCTGTGGAAAAGAACTTCAAGATATCTGCTAATAAACTACGAAAAACCCAACAGTCAAACTTTTTGTCTTGGGTATTGGCATATCCCAACGATCTGTACTGTTCTAAGGTGTGATAGCTTAAGAGTGAATATGGTTTGAACTTAATGCATATTTAGAGGGTGTCTAAAATTCAGTGCCAGGCAGATCCATCTCCTTTGACCCTAAACATGGTCCTAAAGTAAATTGCTTGAGGAAATTGGATCCCAAAGATTACAGGTGGGGAATTTTGAAGTGTGTCCATATTCCACTGGAGATCAAAGAAGCCCAACTAAAAGAATTGTGGACCGGCGACATGACAACTGTGGATTGAGACAAAATTCTTTTTGAAAGGGTTATCTTGAAAATTATGGATCAAACATTGGAGAAACCAAGGTGATTGGCAGTGGAAGGAATCAGAACATGTGAAATTGCTTAAAAATGTATTGACTTAAATAATTTTGCCTGTGTTACACATAATAACAAAAAAACCTTTACACTTTTTGTAGGAAAAAAAGACAAGCACAGGCTCTGATCCAAAATAAATCAGAGCTACCCTATGAGTTTAAAATTTAAATATAAATGACTTGGTAGCTATCACAGTTAACAAAACTGATGTCATTGTCACCATCATGTTTTAATAATTTTAATTGCTAAAAATTAATATCAGAAACTCTAATTCATGAAGAATATAGACATAAAAATTTACACTTTTAATTTTAAGAACCTAAGTTTTTATTTTCAAGTTTGGCTTCAATAATACGTTATATTCAATAATCAAGCATGCTGTGAGTTTAGCTTGCTATTCTTGATCTTGACCACCATGTGGCAACCGTGCATAAGGTTTCAAATTTCACAGCCTGACCTACTTGGAACTTGAAGCTTTATGAAATTAAACAAATTATAATATATCTATTCTATATATAATTATAATATATCTAATATATATCTAATATATCTATATCAAATTAATTATATCTAAGATGTGTGATTTAAATTTTTTCTTTATACTTTTTCCAATTATATTAATATAATTATCAGGAAAAAAGTAACTATATGTTTTTGAAGATGTGCATTTCTTTTAAGAATTTATAGTGACCTATAAAATTTAAATATATAAATAATATTTCTATTACATTTATGATCCTGCTTTATGTAAAACTTTTGAATTAATTAGTTTTAAAATGTAGCTATTAATTTTAAAGTTGTAAGTAAACAATACCGATTATAGAAAAATATTAAGAAGTTAAATATCTAATTTACCTGTCATGTTATTTATTCTTTCACTATTCAATAAATGTTCACTGAGTGTTACATCGTTATGTAATTAGGGTCAGTAAATGTTTCATTTGAACTTGAATTCATGTGTTGATGTTAAGTATATATATATATATATATATTCATATATATATATATGAATTACAAATTTCATAACTTTGGAGCTTAGATACAATAAGCTTATAAGTAGTTTATCTTGCATTCTTTTATTCTGTCAAATTTATATGGCAAATACCTATATTTTTCAAATCCAAATATAAAATGATTTCTATTTTGATTTTCCAGTTCAATAGCTCTTACTCATTTAGAGTAAATACAAAAGCGGAGTCATTTTACTTACCAATTTAATTTATAATCCTTTTTGTTCTATAAATGATGTAAGACTATCTACCAAAAAATATGTATTTGTAATATATCATTTTATGCCTCTCTCATGGTGGTACCTGATCTGCAGAAATTTTTTTTCAGGAGCTACCTAACTTTTGACACCCACTTTTAGTCATTGTCCTTCAACTATTTGACAGTTCTCCCTGTCAGAGCCATTATTTTAGTTAACTACATTGAGTTTCTTAAACTTTCTAATTCTGGTATTGCTGCTATAATAGCTTTTTTTCTGTTTACAAATAAATGTTTTATAGTTCAGTTAGAAGATTTTACATACCTGCTTTGAATTCATAAATATCATA